AATAGACTGTGATCTTCAAATATTTGTAGTTATACTTTCTTTTTTTTTAAATAAACTGAAACTTTTTTTTTAAAAAAAAAAAAAAATCCATCTTTTTTTCTATATATATATACACCGCGTGAGCCTTTGGGTTTTTGTCATCGGGGGTTTTTCTTTTTTCCGAAAAGAATATAAAACGAAAAACGTTAACAATGGAATTGAACTGGACGTGGGTTGTGATATGGGTTTTGCACTCGTATAATGGTGAAAAAATGTGATGGGAATAATGGGAATAAAATAACGATATACATACATTATCTTTCCGCTAGTTCAGTGGAGGCATAAAACATACCGTTTTTGACAGCACCTGTCCAGTTACATTTTTTTTTTTTTTTTGTAAACGAATAAAACAAAGACACGCATCGGCGTCGGAGCGCGTGTACGTACCTATAATACCTACCAGTGATAATTTATTTGCACCCCACAGCAAAAACAAAATCCGCATTCGGGTACCTTCGGTTTTTTAAAGAAAACACTCAGTGTTACACGTACGCTAACATATAATTCCGTGCCCCATACAATGTTTAGTAAATCGGTACGTGTAACATAGTAAATTGTCCGCGCTGTTGGTAATTTAATTGTACAATAATAAAATTAAAAAATAATAATTTGATCCGTTATTGAATATTTTTATTTCGGGTTTTATCAGATAATTAGTACGCTGGTTTTCTCTTAATGGATAAAGTTACAATTTATAAGGGATTTCAAATTTACACCGCCTAATATTGTAGGTATTTTTTACTTTAAAGGAAAAAAAAAAAACGACAACTCAAAGATCGGCAGCAGTACATAACATGTTAACTAAATACGTTTATTGTTATGTACTGTGCGTGCATAAAAAAACTTCTCGTAGATAACCGACTGTATTATAGAGGGAAAATTGTATTTACTCATTCAATATTTGTTTTTCCATGAATTATGTGATAATTTAAAAAATGATTTGTGATTATTTAGGTGATTTCAAATATCGTTCGTGTTATTGTCTCAAGACATGCCATAAACATAATGTATTTCATGGGTTAATCGATAGAATTTGTCATAACGGTAGACCTATATAGCTGCCGAATTTCAGATTTTCTCACGGAGTCACGTAAAATGTTTGGTTAGCGTAGACAGTAAAAATTATTTCCGAACACCAAAAATACTCTGTCATATTAAACGATTGATCTTTATACTGTGATCATATTCAATTTTAGTTTTTTTTTTTTTTTTTTTTTTTTTTTTTTGTGCCGAATAACAAGAAAATTGTATAATATTAATCTGTTTATAACCACCACGAAACCATAATGCATAATATTACTCAACCGATATTTTAATACTATCATCAATAAGGATACGCATAATGAAATGCGTATTCACGTGTGTCGTTAAAAGTTTTCCGTCAGGCCGCGTGTATTCAAATTTTCACCAAATACCTATTATCCCAACAATTAATATTCCACAATAGGTAGTTTTGATAATATTATTTATCTATGGTTGTCATTAAGATAATAACAACATAAATGTGCGCGATTATTAAACTTTACGGTTAATATTTGAACATTTAAAACTAACTAAAAAAAATATAATAAGAGGTAATATTGATGCGATGGGTGTGCCACTGTTATAGGTAGGAAGCCGGGGTGCAGATTAACATACTGCACCCGGTTTAGGTCCCGCCGCTCGTTATCCTTCATCCGATATTTACGTATCGACAAACAAGTGCGTTATTAATGCATAATATCGTATTTGGCCATTCAGAATTCGGCCACTTTAATTTGCTGGCTCATATCGGAATTTTAATCGAAAAACAAAAAAAAAGATACATTTATCGATTTATCTGATTTGTTGTGCAAAACCACGTCAGATAGGTCACAGGAGAAAAAATGCGAAAAATGTGTTCCTCGAACGTATGAACGAATACATATCGGATAAATCATAAAAAACAACGGCATCTGAAATCGGGTGCCGCGTGTTAATATGAAGCTGAGATGTTAGTATATAAGAAGCGATTAACTTGATAACTTAATGCGATAATAAATCATTCTTAATCATTTTTAATGATTTATCGATGATTTAACGATTCTGAGCGAAGTTTGGTTAAACATGTTTTGAAGTGCTTTATTTTGTATGATTTTCATTGAAATTTGAAACCAAAAATGCTAAACAGTTTTTATCACTAATAAAACTGATTATGAAATTGATAATACATTTTCAAGGATTTTTCTTAGGAAAACTATTTTAACCAATTTTAAAACTAAAATTACTAGAAAATGTCAAATGCTAATAAATAGCTCAACATTTTGAAAATTATATAACGCCTAAAATGGGCAAGTATAATAATTTTTTGAAAATTTAAGATCTATACGATCATATTAATCTAAATTACAACAAAAACAATATCAATTGTTTAAATAAAACTTTTGGCTTAAATTTGGCCATTTTTTCGGATTTTCTCATTTATTATGAAAACTACTTGAAAAACTAAAAAGTTACCAACTAATTTTAAATTGCCACATAATTGTGGCAATAATTATATACCTACAACATTATACCTATATCAATGGCAGATCCAGGTCATGGTGAGAAATATGTCGGTTTTTTTATTAATATAATTAAGTTTCCTTTAGTCTGTAGATAGAAATATCTAACTTAATAAGAAAAAAGTATTGTTACACTACAACTTTTCTATCATAAATCTTGTTACAAACATGATCATGTGTAGGACCGCGGTTTTGTTAGAAAATTGTTTTATTTTGTACAATGGAGGGGTGAAAAATCGAGAAATTTGCGAGATTTCAAAACACATATAACTGAAATTTACACAAAATCGATTTTCATTCGCATTTATTGATGCGTACAGGAGTAAATCAAATTACTTTATAAATCCTACCTTCCCAGCTTCCCACCTAAAATAGCGGCACAACGACCAGCTCTATCAAATATTTTTTTTAGTTTATTTGCTAAAGTAAGATAGGTACCTTAGTTCCTACTTTGTTACATTATTTATGAATATTCAAAATGTTTATACGTTTAATAATATTATTTGAATATATAAGTTGCATCCTTAATACTGAATAATAACAAACTCTGTATAATCTATGTAAATGTTATTTAGTGTAAACTAATAATATTTATATGCGATATAAAATTTTATAAACGGGTTTGTATATATAGAAAAAAAAAATTGCTTTAAAAAAAAATGTATCCACCTTCTTTTTAAATAATGTCATGTAATAATACAATGATAAAGTTTAGTATAGTTAAAAATATAAATACTCTATTTTAGTTATACAGTTATTTACATAATAACTGTTTATATAAGTTAGAATTAAAATTGTAACGTTCGTTTAAATTTATTTTTGATATTTCGTTTGGTAGGTATGTTCTTTTAGACTCGAAGCACTTCAATGAATGTGCTCGTTTTACTAAGATGTGTTTTGTCTTTTAACAACATTTTTACCTTAAATCACATTCTAATCAAATAATTTTAGAAGAGTTTTTTTGAATAAATATAAATAAAGTGCATTGGGGAGGTTCTTATATGGTATTAATTTGAATTTTCCAAATTACTGAAATGAACGAGGCTGTTTAAAAAAAATAACGGTTTCATTATGGGTTTTTGTTTTTTCGTTGTAATTCGTTTGACAATAAAAATCAAAAGTAAAGACAGAATTTTTACAATACAGAATGCTTGTATTAATCTTTTGTAGATAAGATAAAAAATATTCAAAACGTTCTAGATATTTTTTAGCCGTTTTTGTGCATTTGACTTTGTCGAGTTTTTTAAATTTTTATTCGGATTTTGGGCGTATTGCTAATTTTACATGAGGTTCACTTTAAATTATAATTAGTAATATAAAAAAAATAATAAGTGTTATACTCGTGATGGGAGCAGCCATTGTTGTTGGTGAAAAGTTGGGAAGGTAGGATACACAAGGTTGTTTCATTTATATCTGTAAGCAACGATAAACCATTGCCTAACGAAAGACGATTCCGAGCGCAGTTCGGTAACACATAATTTGAAGAGCCGTAATTGTTTTACGATTTTCTTTAAATTTGATTTCAAAACGCTTATTAAAAAAAATAGTCTTCCGATAATTTTGGAAATTTCGCCACGTCTAGATAAGTCCAATATATGTGTTATTAGCAAGTTTCAAGTTTTAACGTGTATTTAAAACCGAATAACAGCTAGAAAACTCCCAAAAATCAAAATTTCTTATAGAGTCTTTTCTCTTAAATAAATTTCTTAAAAGCTCATAAGTTTTTGCGATGATACCGTAAGAAAGACAACCAATAAGGCAAAAAAATAATGTTTCGGATTTTTCGATTAAATCATTTTTTCTAGTAGAATACGTCGTCTGTGTTATTATAAAATAATGAAATCGTGAAATTGTACGTTTTCCTACGTTTTATCCCACTTAAATTGCTTTTTTAAAAATGACGTTGAAAATCAAAAAACGTCCTATTAATAGTATTATATACACAACTTGAGCTTTCACAAAAGTTGCATTTCGTAAATATCGGAGCGAGTTTACAAGAAAAAAACATTTCTGCAGACTAGAAGTAAAAGAAGAAAAAAACAAATAAACGTCCCAGTAAAACCAATAGCTCCCTCCCTCGGTTCGGAATCTAAAAAAGTTCAGCGTAATGAAGTGTTTTTTTTTTTTTTAAATGCGTTTCAATTTTAAATTTTAACGAAACGCATAAAAACAACGGCATTTCAAATCACGTTTAACCGAACTCCGCTCGGAATCGTATCGCATCAGTAATTATTTATCATTGTGGAATTAAATCGAATACATTCATTTATTCCTACCATCCCAAAATCCCACAAAAAATATCGGTACATCCATCGTTTGTATCATTGTTATATAGTTTTTATTATTATTAATTTTTTTTTTTTATTATTTGCAGGGCTTATTTTATATTGTTTTTTCTTTTCTAACATTATTTAGTTTTTACCTAAATTATATGTGCCCGGAATCTGAAAGGATGTACCTTACTACTTAAATTGTTGATCATAATTACAAAATAATGGAAGTATACAAAAAGCGGCGGTAAAAGTTGCAAAACCGTTACTCCTAAATAATATACACACATTAATGTGTATTTAGGTAATTGCAATTTCTTGTAAATAAAATATCGTATAACAATAAAATTATTTTTTTTCCGTTTTTCTTTGTATTCATCATCGTAAAACAAAACCGAAAAGAAATTAAAGCCGGGTTCACGTCACGTCACGTCGTGGATATGGGTAAGAATGAAATCTCACGTAAAAAAAAAAAAAAAAAAGAATCGAATTGAAATTCAGACGGGCTACAATGTTGTATTGCATCAGCACATGTGTCGACGTTTCACAAGATCGGACCCAATTTCCAATTGAACAGGAATACCGAAGTATACACAAACACTCGCACATTTTATACATTTTTCGGTTCACAATGAAAAATGTTGTAGAAGTTGTAGTAGTATAGTGATTCCATATACTATCTAATTGAGTGAAAATCTCGGATACCAGATAGTGTCCGATTCCATTTTCTCGCTTTCCCGCCTCCACGTTCAATTTTATTTTGGACGTATAACGGTGACAGATAAGTGTAAAATAAAAAAATAAAAATAAAAAAAAAACCTCCTTTAATGTCGTTCTATAGCTCGAAGCTATCAATAACCTCAATGACACCGGGGCCGCATAATTTCCGGCATCGTCTTGCAAAATTAAGTTTTCCTTTACTTTTTTTTTCTCCTCAGGAAACGCAAGCGTATCGACCATCGTAATATAATTTTTCGATTTGAATTTTTCCTAGAATTAAAATGTAGGTTGTATGTGTATATACATATGTATATATATATATATGTACCTTGGTAAAAAGTGGTACGCGAAAAAATCGTCAAAATCGAGGGGAACAGAGAACCCCATAGAAAACAGTATTTTACATAGGGTGTGCAGTATAAGTTAAAACATTCATTTTGGATAGTATTAACTTTTTCAGAATGTATTATTGAAAAAACAAATTGAACACACCGCTATTAATTTCGCTATATTGTTTGTAGACAAATATTATTTTAGGTACGTCACAACCGTGACACGGACAAAAACTATTATTAGGCCTTCGGATACCTTATGCGACTTTTCTCACGATCATTTATCGACAATTAGTCGTCGAACGCGAAAAAACCTCCTGCGTGCAAAATTTTAGGGTTTTTTTATCCCTGGATTCAGAAATAATTAAGCTATCATAGGACAATATCTACGAAGTGCAATCTTTACGAACGAATTAAGAAAAACCAAAAAAACAAAACCTCTCTTGTGTTACACCTACACTCAAGGTGTACGAAAATGCTCTTGGTGAAATTAGAAAACTTCCAGTGTACCATTGAAAAAACTCCTATGCAATTTCGGCAAAACATTTTACCGGATGAAATATTAACAACGTGTAGGATATAATATCCGTAATCAGTAAGTTTTTTACTTCAATTAGTTTTCGTCAATCGTCGACAATTTTTTGATTTTTTTTTTTTTCATAAAACGTTTTCGCATCTCTCGAAAAATCGGGTTTTCGGCACACGGGAAGTTTGTTCACGCCAACGAGACGAAATGTCAAAAAAATAAAAAAAAACCGCGCATTTTTGTTGAAAAAATCATTATTGATTCCGACCCACGTGTTCCGGCGTTGTTATTGTCATCGGCCGTGATTTATTATCACAACAACAGACACGTCCAGCGATTTCGACGACGAGCCGCGGGTGTTGCGACAATGGCCGGCTGCGGCGCGACAACATTTCCAAGGCGGACTAGCGATAAGTTTTACAATACGGCGGCGGCGGCGGTATGCTTTACCGAGGCTTAGAACCCGCGCCCAACTATTATCGCGGAAGTGGCGCCGTCCCGGGAAAAAAAAAAAAAACAAAAATTATTATTACGAACCCCGTTGACTCGCACTCTTTCGAACCCGACGATTGCGTATTTTCGGATTACGACTTATCGGCGTCGGCGGCGGTGGCGTGCGGCAATCGACCCGCGGCACGCGAAAAAATCGAGCGCGCGCTCCGGGAAACGAAACCGCAACACTCGTTAGTTTCCAGAGATTTCGCGGGTACGGCGGCGCTCCGGAATGACGAAAAGTTAGCTACGGTTCCGATTGTCGAACGCGCGCCGTCATTACGCCTCGTTGTTTTGCCAGCGCGCGCACGCGCACCAGCGGCCCGCGTTGGCTCCGCGGCGAATTTTCGTTCGGGCCGCCACATTAACGGAAACCCGTTTTCCCAGCGCATGGTTACCCCGCCGAGCGTGTTTGTTCTTATTGCGCGGAACACTCGTGGCGGCGTAAACGGTGCCGCCCGCGCGTACCGGCGACAACAACAGTGACGCGAGCGTGCGCGCGCGCGCCGGGCGGACGGCCGCGAGAGTGATTGTCGCGCGTTTCGCCCGTCGTCACGAACCCTCCCCCCCCACCCGGAGTGATCGGTCGGTCGTCGGCGATTTCCGTCGAAAGTCTCGCGGCCGCGGGCCGCCGGGTCGTCCGTTAGGCGCGACGACGAATTTATCGTTCGCGTGTGAACACGTCACGGTGTTCGGGGGCGTCGATGTTTCGAATCAGGCCCGGGCGAACGGCGAAAACGAACGGCTCGACGCCGGACAACGGGCGCGCGGCCGTTTCGCCGTGGAAAACCACGCGTCCCGGCCGCCGCAAACGGTTCGGCGGTTTTTCTCGTTTTCAAATCGCGGCCGGCGAACGGATTTCGCCTACCCGGGTACGTCGTCACCGGCGTCCGTCTCGTGCCGGTCTTCCTCGGAAACGGCTTTTGACAACTGCGCGCATTGCTCGCAGCTCGGTTACGTCGTTGACGGTTTCTAAATGGCCGGCACTTTTCCGCCGTACCCGAATTGTCTCTGACCCCGGACGTTTTCTTCCGTCTCCTATTCCGGCGTCGTGGCGGGCGCAGGTTTCGAGACGGGCCGAAATCGTTCGCACGCAGTTCAAAACGGTCGGAGAACTGTACGCGTCATTAAACACGGCGTGGCTATTTCGGAAAACACAAAACGCCAATTTTGAAACTGTTCGCTTCGAATCCGTTTTCGGAATTATTGACTCTTCCACGTGTACGCGTGGAATATTTTACATAATTTATTCTAACGGTCCTTAAATAAAACTCGAACCGGTAATCGGGTTCTACGAGCGTAGCTGCGATTGGGCTAGTTGGAAATCGTCGTTCGGCCGTTCACCCATAACGGCGGTACCGCACGCGTGTTACAAAAAATCGAATTACCTATACATAGATTTATTTCGAATGCGCGCCCTCTGCGCCGTCTTTTTCTATAATAATATTCAATCGTGCGGTAAAATTACATTCGTGTATTAACGGCGTCTATATAATACCGAGGATTTTATTTAAAAAAAAAAAAAAAAAAAAAAAAAACCCCGCTCAACTTTAAGACCCCCTCCCCGCGGCCCGGCCCGTACCGG